TGTACATGAAAACTAATTGCGTTAAAGCTTAGCTGTTTACCATAAATGCCAAATTTAACATAATTGCGCAGTGTAAGCATAAGTTTCATACAGTATAAGTAGTTTGGGGATGGTAAAAAATCCCTCTTCTAGTGAAAAAATGAGTTAGGTGAAATATCCCATTAACCGCTTTCAGTCATTATTCAAACAAAATTCAAATAATCGAGCAAGCAGGCTTATAATTGGGCTTTAGGTTTTTAATTAGGCCTCAAAGTAATTTCTGTTAGCACAGTATTCGAAATATTTTTTTTAATTCAAAAAAATGTCTGCAAAAAATAGAAAAAGGAAACTTAAATATTTTTTGAATATTTTCTATTCGTTTTTTGAAAATCTGTTGTCAATATTGCAAAAATTACTATTTCTATTGAATATGCTTACCTTCTAGGCTCTCGTTCAGATCCTCTAAGCGCGCGAAAACAGCACAAAAAACGCCACAGTTCGAGAAAAACAGTTTTTTTATGATTGAGGTCGAAACTTTCCTTTGTTACTCGCAAAGCAACCAGCTATACTTATTCTACTCTGTAAACCTTTTCTGCTCATACTGTGCAAAGTTCTGTTCTACGAAAACGCAGCGGTCGCCAACGTCTCCTGCTACATTGTGGTGCTGAGGTTCGTCCTGCCCTTCGGCTCTGCGATTACCAATCTGACACAAAAACACCTCCAAAAAACTAACCAACAGGGTTGCAATTAATTCTAACATCAATCATACCTTTTGCAACTTACCTTCCCTGCATATATTTTGTTATGCAGAAGTCGATCAAGATGGACAATGTAATGTAGTACCAAAAGCTTTACCGGTTTTTTATGATATATGGCAATTTTTTCAAACAGTTGTACTTTTTTAGTATATCCGATCGCTTTTCTGATTTTTGAGAGCTCGGTTTTTATTGTATCGTTGTTCAAAAAAACCAAAAACATGGCTGAACCGAGGGCTAAACCGGCTCAACCTTCAACCGCAGATGAAGAAAAGCTGAAACGTGAAAGACGAAAAACGCAAGCTCAACGTAGATACGTAATCATGCTCACAATTCTAACCGGGTCATTCATAATGTTGATTCTAGTAACTTCCATCGCATTTCGACTTTCAACGAGCGAAGGCAAGAGAAGTCCGGAAGAGCAAGGGTTCTATTTCAGACTGATTGCGTTCACAGTTCTGACAAACGATTCGGTTAATTTCTTTTTCTACCTGATGAGCGGAAAGATGATCTGGCATGCTCTGACGAAAGCGGTGAAAGAGAAAGTTCCGACATCCGTCAGTGCTTAGTTGAGAATTTGTCCTTTCAGAAAAATTAACCGCATTTATAACATACACCCATTTTACTCAGAGTTTCCTTATTCTCCTTGCCTTATTTTCCTATGATTATTGTGATTTAAATTAAGGATCGAGCATGCTTTTTAGATTTATGCATTTTATTCCAACTTTTCAGAAAAGAGGAAGTTGATTCACAATAGTTCAAAGAAAGTGACAAAATATTTGTGCCCCAAGTGTTTTTTTTCTCCCGACAGACTTCGACTTCTTAGCTAACAATTATTGACGGAACTTTTCATACCGTCCGAAAACTAGTTTTGTCCTGAGCTCAAATTTAAAAAGATATTTTTCATGCTCTTGTTCGTTCGTTAGCAGAAAGCATGGCTGCCCATCAGCTAGCCACTGATTGCAGCGTCTCGGACCACCGCTCTCCATCTCAGCCTGTCCTGGTCGATTTCATAGCATACTTCTTCCAAATATCGCGCCTCAATCTCGGAGGCCTGAGGATCTGTTCAAAGTCTTCCGCGACGTTCATTCTTTATGTTGTTCTGAGGCCAACCAGTGGGCGTTTCCATGACTGAGCTTTTTCAAACATTAATGCTTCTCGAGTTACTCGTTCTTCCCCCATTCGAAGTACATGACCAGACCATTTTAATCGCAGATTTTTGACACTCCATGTTTTCGCAGCATATAACAGAGCGCTTTTTACGCATGGATTGTATACTCTGTTCTTCGTGCTTCTCGTCGTTCAATTGTTCTTCCAAATTTTTGCTAATCTAGAGCTATTGGCAGTGGCGCGTGCGATCCTGTTTTGTACTTCTGTTGCTGTGCTGCCGTCGGACGATATCCGACTTTCGAGGTAGACGATCTCAGTGACATTCTCGAGAGGTGTGCTTTCGAGTAACAGTACAACTAGGTCAGTTCGGGCAAACCTGCACTTGGTCTTGCTGGCAAGGACAATGAGGCTGACTTCTTTTATGGTCGCGACTAATCTGTTTACTAGGGATTGGACATGATCAGAGATGTCCTCTGGTAGAACGATGTAATCTGCATAATCCAGATCGAAAATGACTGTTTCTAGCGACATTCTATTGTTTTAACCGTCCGTCTGTTGCACAATTCAGCACCCAGTCGATAAGAAGATTAAAGCAAAAATGGGAAAAGAACGCCTCCTTGCCCTACGACGGGGATGAAATCAAAAAACTTGACTTTCTTTCTCACGCAGCTGATGGAGTCCGTGTAGATGTTTTTTAAAATAATTTTTAGTTGTTTGGATAGTAGGCCTTGATTCTCGAGAAGCTGCCGGATTGCGTCTCTCTTAGCGCTGTCGAAGGCAGCTTTGAAATCGATAAGTACCATGACTGTTGATCTGTTGTACTCATTTCGTTGCTCCAGGATCTATCGGAGCGACAGCCTCGCTTTTTCCTAAACAACCACTCGATGGCCTCTCTTTTTCTTTTCGCGACAACCACTCTTTTTCTTAAATCCCACCTGAATGTCTCTGGTGTGGAGCTCGTATGCTTCGGTAAGTCGTGCCAGCAGGATTGTTTCCAGGACCTTGAGTCCTATGCAGAGAAGCGATATCCCGCGATAGTTGGAGCATACTTGTGAGTCGCCCTTCTTGTGGAATGGCAGGAGGATTGACACCCTCCATTTGTCCGGGATTTGTTCTGTTCTCATATGCTGTGCAGTAGCAGTTCTATCAGGTCAACGAGCGTTTCTCCACCGGCTCTTGTGATCATGCTTCGTTAACTTATTGTTCCGACTTTCGAACAAAACAAAATATTGAAGCTCGGTGTGGGTTTTTTTATTCAGTCAACTTTCGCCCATCGAAATAATAGCTTTCAATTTAAAATTTTTATACTCCATTGAAGATATTGACTTCCTAATTTTAACTTTAAAAAAGTATTCTACCTCCGATTATTTGAGATAAAATTATTAATAAATGTTTTTTATTTTCTTTTGGTAAAATTATCAATTATTATCCTAAATAGGTAATTTTTAACACAGAGGCGAAGTTGCAAAGTATAAAAAATGACCGATAATGCTACTGGGAAAAACTGAATGAGTGAAATTTGGAGTCTACAAAATATCTTTAGTGACGCAGTACCAGTCAATTCGAAAAAAAAAGAAATTTACTAACTAACATGCCTTAATTAATAGAGCAGTCTATGGACCAGTGAAAACTTGAAAAAATCAAATGTAAAAAAAATGGATTTTTTTTAATTTGAGAATTTTTGTAAAAATCATCGCCCCACACACGCCATATTAAGTACAAATTGACAAATTTCGCTCCTAGAAACCAATCAATTATAGCAAACAAGCTTCCTTCAACCAATTTGGAACGATCTCCTGTCGGATTAAGTCTCTGCTTACGCGTTAATAGCTCGAATTATATCGCGCGTTAATTGTGCCGAATTGGCCAAAATTTTCAAACCCTCATGACACTACGAAAAATGATCACAGGTAAAATATCTTTCCAAATTTAAGCTCTGGACAACAATTCTTTTTGAATGATATAAAAAAACCCTCAAGAATGGCTAGTTAAAAAGTCAAAATTTGTCTGAAGAAAAAAACCAGCAAAACTATTCCGTTACTTTTTTTACGAAAGTCGGTACAATAATAGTCTGTTTTAAAATCCTTAGCATTGGCTTTTCTTAATAGCTGGTTTTTGATCAAAATGAACACTTTGACAATGAACACATTCCAAATTTTGAGATTTTCTTTGGAAAAAAATATAGTTCATAGTATAACACAAGCGTTGCTTAAGTAAACATATCGAACGTTACTCTATCCCTTTACGTGCTCAAAAATAGACGAAACAATTTCTAACCCCTTTTTCTCGATACTGTAAATTTTTTTGAAAATTTTTTAATGTCGTTCGAATCACGACTGAAAAGGTTTTAACATGAAATATCATTCAACCCAGTCCGATAATTATTTGTGGTACCTGATTTTGCGAGGAAAACCAAAAAAAGTAAAACACACCTTTATACAAAGTTCCTTCACATTTTCAATGGTCGAAACAACTATCTTTCGGTGACGTTGAAATTCAATACAGACAATTCCTGTTTAAATTTATTTCAATGAAGCAGTTTGCCGGTGAAAAATGCAACAAAGAGCGGCAACTGTGGTTGAAAAAATTGGCAGAATCAAATTTGAAAAGTCAGCCTCCTCTTTTAAAACTTGTCTAATTAAGTCTGAAAAATGAAAGATGTTCAGACAAATTTTTCCCGACACTGAGACATTTTTTGAAGTTTTTCCGATCATGTTTCGGACTTTAATATGATATATACTTATCTTAACTCTAAGAGCTTCCATTGAAGAAGACAAAATTGGCTGAAAAAACGGACCCTACGCCATAGTACCTTCCTGACACTCTCTACCAGGAAGAAATTATCGATAATCAGATAAAATTTACCAAAGACCTTCAAATTTTTGGGGTTTTTTGAAGTAGAGACTTAACTGATCTACTGATATAGCGTTTAAGTAGAAGTAGTTTCCTGAATAATAAGCCATATTCTACTCGAAGGTTTTTGACCATCTCAGGCCATTTCATTTACTTCGACAACGTCTGGAGAAAAAAGTTTGCGGGTCTTATATTGCTTGCTGCTTTTTGCCTTAAATATTATTTTAGCAAATAGTAGGCTGTTTAAAAAATAATGTTTAATAATTAATCAAAATATATTGAAACTAATCTATAAATTCCAATTCAAACAACCAAGTTTACATAATTTTCGCCCCGTTTTCAAAAAAATTAAATCGAAGTTCATTCACAATTACACCCATATTGTCCTCAATTCACTCTAATTTGGTTGCAATCTAAATGGCCTTGATCAATCTCTTCGTTCTCCGTGAATACCAGCCAGATAGAACTTGTAAGTAGCCAGCGGATACAGGGTTAGAGTACAAGCAGTTACTATATACATCAACCACATGGGGTCAAAATTATCCATCATATACGCAATTACAAACGGCAAGACTATCTCGCCACTCGAACCACCAACCATGTAAATTGCACCTATCTTTCCATTTATGGTGAGGTAACGACTCGTGTACGACAACGCCGCTGGTCCGAGCGACGCGAAGCTAAGCGCGAATATCATTGAGCAAATGTAAAAGGCAGTCGTATTTGCAGCAAGAGACGTTGATAGAGGAATCGATGAAAACACGAGACATATTACATCGATATGCATTATGGTGTAATCGGAAAGGTACATAGAATAGAAGATTGCCAAGAACCTCCCGAGAGCAAAGGTGAGCCAAAATGTTGCCGAAAGAGTTGTCGCCTCACTTATGCTCATTTTCAGATCCGACACCACAGCAAATGTAACCAGATAACCATCATAAGCCAGAAGAACGCCAAAGTAAAGTGCCAGAAGAACGATTCCTACTGGTATAAACCGAATTCGGAAGTTAAACTCGCGCAACTTTTCCTCTTCTGTGGTTTGTTTGAAAACAGTTGACTCGTGTTGTGATTTTGATTTTCGATAAGGGAAGCAGCAGTAAATAATAAACAGGTAAACACCAACGGTCAGGTTTAGAACCCCAACAATTAAGTAGACCCATTCTACCCGAGAATGTTCTAGATCAATATGTGACGTCTCGTTTCCCAAGACGCTGTACATTTTGGGCTTTAATGGTGCCGACGATACCTGATCCAAGGTTGTTGTGGGTTCACTAAGATATGAGGTTGTCGAGGAGCTGTAATTGGCATCTGAGAAGGTTGAAGCTATTTGGCGGAGGGCGACTGAAAGGCTTGAGTCATCGGAGCTAACTAGAACAAATAAAGAACGCTGCTTCATGCAGTAAGAAAACTGCCCAAAATGTAGAAAACGAAGCGCTAAAAAATCTGCCTTAAAATAACCCTTAAATTTTATCTTTGATCAGGTACTCCCTCAGCACGACCAATTTTTGGAAATTGCATTAGGTTTTTGAGAGTTTTTACGACTTATTCATGTCTGGCAAACAGCCCAAATTTGGCCAGAAGAGCCTTCAAAATTAAACGGAGGCAAAGCCTGAGAATTGGCACGGTAGTTTTCGAGTAAATTCAAGTTTCCAAAAAACAGTCAAAGTTTCGAAACTTCGTTTTGTTTGAAAGTTGGAACAATTTTATTTAAAAAATTAGGCGGGGCATTTTATAATGGTTGGCTTTCAACAGGATAGTTTGGCAGAATAGTTATCGAGAAAAGTCCAAAAAAAACTCCACAAATCCAACATTTGACAATTCCGAGAACCTTAGCTGTGTCTAGAAAAATTGGACGTAGCCGCTATTGCAGACGAGGTTCACACAATCTTTAATTTCGATTGATCCCAAGAACTCAGATTTGGGAGGGCAGTTTTCGAGAAGTCAAAAAGTTTCAAAAAACGGTCAACAATTTAAAACTTTAACTATTCCAAGTTTTAAATTTTTGACCGTTTTTTGAAACTTTTTGACTCTTCTCGAAAACTGCCCTCCCAAATCTGAGTACTTGGGATCAATCGAAATTAAAGATTGTGTGAACCTCGTCTGCAATAGCGGCTACGTCCAATTTTTTTAGACACAGCTAAGGTTCTCGGATTTGTCAAATGTTGGATTTGTGGAGTTTTTTTGGACTTTTGTCCAAGGGCCATGACTTTATGTGAGAAAAAGTTTGAGCATAGCCACTTATGCAGGGTAGCTTTTCAAATGCGTTTTAGTCCTTGAAACAAAAAATTGAAAAAAAATGGAGGTGAAGTTTTTGAGAAAATGAAAAAAAAACATGGGTCAAATATTCCCCCCCACTGACTTTTTTGAAAGCTATAGACAGAGAAGAGAGATAAAAAGAGACTAGAGGAGTATGCAAGCACAGAGGTGCGTAGGACATCTTTTTGTTGATACATTTAGAAAAAAAGATAGCGAGAAAAAAATGCAAAATGTGGAAAAAAAACACCAAAGCGTCTCAAAAAAACCAATCCCATATATTTTCATAATACCTCGACTGTGTTTGATCCAAGCGTGCTATGTTTCTAATGATTCAATTCAAAAGGGCCTTGATTCACATCAGCAGTTTTGGATATAAGCTGATTAATCGTATGGCGTAGACCAAAATGAAGCAAATTACATACTTCTTTTATCTTTGCGTAAATTTTACAATTTCGATACATATGTTGTTAAATTCACATGATTTTTAAATTGATATGAGGCTCTAGATATCGTCCCGGCTTTTCTTTGTGAATTCGATCTAATTTTGTAACGTACTAACTCATTTTAAATTTTCATCGATTGCCAAAAGACCCGCTTACGAAAAGACCGAAAATGAAGACCGACCCGTATTACATAAAGACCCGTATTACAAAAAGTTCCAATTTTTCACCAAAATGACAGGTTATCAGGGGCGGATTTAGGGGGAGGCTGGACACCCACCCTCCCCTCAGGGATTGAACCACCTGCCGACAAAAAGGGTTTCCCCTTTGGTACTTTTTCAGAAAACCATTTTTGGCTGACCTTATGTACAAATATCGAGGAGTGCTCGCCAAAAAACTCAGTTTTATAGCCCAAAAAATTTTCAAAATTTTCATAATACGGTCTGCTAGTGTTCTGGGAGCGTTCGGAAACTCAATTTGATCGACCTAAAAAAAGTTCCACAAAGTTTTCAAAAAGTTTTTGAAAATGCCCCCCTGCCAGTCTATCCTCGAGAAAACTAGATCCACTATGCAGGTTATTTGTGCTAGATTTTTTCTCCAAACTTTGATCTGAAATTTTGTTTAAAAATTTTGACTGAAAGTTTTTCTTATATCAAAAATCGTAGTTTTAAAAATGTCAAATAATGAATACTATGATCTTGAGCAAAAAAAATCGTAAATAAGTACAAGAGCAAGTAAATCTCATCTACAAAAAAAAAACGTTATGACGGATTTACTTTTCTAAAACTCGTTGAATTCAAGAAAAGAAGGCTGCTGTAAAAGCAGCCCGAAAGTTCCGAATACTCATAGTTTTGCGAAAAATATATTTACACAGAGGCGAGGCTGCGCTTCGAAACACTACGAAGTAGCTCTACAAATTGAAATAACAAAAGAAATATTTAAACCTTGAAAATTAAAACTTTTGCTGTGGCGGATTCTAACCTGAGACCAGGATAATTAGAGACCCTGTCCTCGCATCTGCGCTACATGCCCTTGACAATTTACGACGACTAGCCAAAAAATAAAGCAGCTACCTATGCGAATAAATTTCCACCGCGATGCAGCAAAAGTGGCACCAATTACCAATAGACACATCTTTGCATGTAATATTTTGTATTATGACAAACTAAAGGCAGAAAGCCAAATTATGTACAAATCATGCATTTAAAAAACAATTGATATATTCAGTTGTAAAAGTTCTGAAACCGAGTTTTTATTATTGTACTGTTGTTTGAAACAAATAGCTTTTTTTGGTTCATTTGATTAATTAAAAATGCATCAATTGTGTTAATTTATTAATAATCGAGTATCAAAGCACATGCTACCAAAAAGCCGTAAAGGTGTCCCAAAAGTGGCACCAATATTTGCGACTTAGGTTGGAAAAAAATAATAGTCGTACTAGTACACTACGCTTGCTAAAATTGACTAGTGTAAGCAACCTGAGCTTATATCAAAATCAGCCAAAAATTAAAACCAACGCCAATTTATGAGTCTCTGCACCCCTCGTTTGGTTGAAAAAATTTTCTTTTTTTTTCAAACCACACAGCAGAACAGTCCAATTAAGCAGACTTTCCAGTCTGGTTGCGCTCCATTGATCAAAAATTGGATTTTAAAGGGTCTTTTGCACTAAACGGCCCAAAATCAACATTTTACATATTCAATATGGTCAGACATATCAATTAAAATTTCAAAAAGATAAAAATTTGACAATCTTTGTGTAAAACAAGCATTTGGAAAATATCAACAAGTGTTTTGGTTCGCACTTCTTGATGCTTGCGTGCAATTCAACTTCTACTTTCATGAGCCAAAAGTTGAAACTTTTGTTTCTATTTCTACTCTGAAATCATTTAACGCCATTCAAAGTATGGCAATCAATATTGAAAAATTTCAAATTTAGATGTTATTTTAGAGCCATTTAGTGCATAAGCTCAATTTTAAGTAATTGATCCAATATTTTTTCATAACTTTTTGTTGTATTTTACATTATTTCAGATTTATCACAAGTATAGAGCATTTTACCGCTTTGCCGATTGCTGATTTGAAATCCATAATTGTTCGAAATCCATTAAAATCTGCCAACCAAATAGCTTAAACCGGTCTTTGTTTGCGTTGAAATAGCGGGCTTAGCACAAATATAGACCACTCAACTCGTCAAAGCATTCTGTCTTTGACCATTTGAACAATCTTTGGAACACACGCGACTGATTTTTTATTTTGCTACAAATGGCACTAAGCTTTCATTTTAGTACTGATGAATACCCACAATCTCAGCATTTCATTAATTTCAAAAGAGTTGAGTTTTATTTAAAAATCTATCTCACAAAATTTAATTTTCAGTTTTTCCTTCCGTTTAACTACTTCATTTCAGCCAACCAGTCAGATTCCAGCAGTATGATCCAATATTCACAGAATATCAAAAGAATGGATTTAGGGTCTCATAAACTGATAAAATACCCCTTGTAAACATAGCTATAGAATGTTTATTTAGCACTAGTGCACGATGAAGCCACATACCTTGAGTTCCGGAGAATGGCTTGGTAAGTAGGGGTGCCAGGCCACAGCCCACAGCAACTGTGAAGTGCAGTTGTTGCATGGGGGAACTGCTGTCCTTGTCCCACAGATCCAACAGAACTATGTTCACAACTAAACACACACGCGTGCACGCAATTAAAACAAAATTCATGCTCGAGTAAAAATTTTTAGCAAGTTTACAATAAAAAAATCACTGCACATTGACTTTCTGCTATGAATCAAGACAAATACCTCAACATTTGTTCTGCATTTTTTTTACTGTTCACTTTAAAACCCATATATGGTAACTAGGCGATAATGTGGCTGGCATCGTCGCCTTATACAAAAATGCTTAAAATTTTCAAGTCTTAATGGCTGATTTTTTGATACAGCACCGCAGTCTAACCTGTAAGTTTTAAGTTTCAGTTTTGAAAAACAAAAGCCAACAAATTTGCAAAAGGAGCCGAAAACTGACAGTCGATTAAATTTTCATATACGATAAACCGTTAACCGTTGCAATATTTCTTTATATGATGGAAATTTGATACTAAGAACAACAGGGGGAGGGTTGTTGGTTGAAGAGATCCCTGATTGACACTTACCCAGCTCCAGTGACCTCATGCAAGCTCCTCTGAGTACAGAAGTGGACACTAAAAGGAAGAGAGAGGGCCATAGAGGGACACACACAGTCAGCAGGGCGGCCCCACTGGCCATACAACACATCAGCAGCCAGTGGTCCACCAAATCACACAGAAGACCTACAAATAAACTGGGTTTGTTATCATAAGGTTGACAGTTCGAGCCCACCCAGGAACACTGAAGCACAAAATTGATAGGAAACCGTTTTCATCTGGGATTTGTTTTCCATTTAATCTGATTTTATGAATCAGAGGTTGCTAAAACCCGCATCCAGTCAATTCGGCCAAAGACAATTCAGCCGATTTGAAATTCAGACAATTCAGCCAAAAGTATGAAGACAATTCAGCCAATAATAGTGAACGCCGCAGTCGTGTCAACGTGTTTCGAGCTTGCCAAGAGGGTAGGACTCTATACGAAACTTAGAGCCGGTTATCGCCCCAAAGCGGCGACGCGCGCATAGCGCGCCCGCCGGCGACCTTTAACCGAGAAATAACTCCAATTCCGGTTTTTCATTCGAATCTAGCGTTTTGTAAAATTGGCTGAATTGTCTGTATACTTTTGGCTGAATTGTCTGTATACTTTTGGCTGAATTGTCTGAGTTTCAAATTGGCTGAATTGTCTTTGGCCGATTTGCCTGTGCGCAGCTATAATCATACTTTTCCAATAGTGCGAATTTTCAAATCTTTTTAATGTCTAGTTTTTCAGGACACCCTAGATTTTTCAAGGTCCAGGTTACATCAAATGAATAACAAATACATTCAGCATACCTCCCCCAATGACCCCTACGATGAATCCGGATGCCTGTCCGACGAAGAGAAGAGACACCTGGGACAGACTCACAGACAGTCCGTAGGCTAGGTCCAGCAGGGTGGGACCAATGATGGCATGCATCGTACCCTAAACAGTGAGTTGATTGATAACAAGTGAGGTAGGAAAATGATCATCATATTAAACGGTTCCATGAAAATCTACCGATTCTACTTTAACCTATGCCATTCCCCCTATGCCAATCTACCCTATGTTCTATAAGCAATTCAGTGATAACTGAGTTGACTTTCTTAATTTAAAAACGCATGTGGGGGCGCTAAGCTGCTGCAGCAAAAAAACAACTATTGTCCGAAAAGAAAAAAATTAACAAAACATAAAAGTGCGATCAAAATAAGTTGGAAACTTGCATGTTGGGAAGTTTTGTTTCAATATCTATCAATTTACCACGCCTCAAATAACATTGAGTCATGATATTTATTGAATGTATTTTTCCACTCTAAGCTAGGTAAAAGAAGTAATTGCCGGATTGTAACGAGAAAAGTATCACATTAAGACTTGGGACTAGCCCTTTCACTTGGGACTTGATGCAAAGAAAAGTTCAAAACATTTTCAATACAAGTTTCAATACAGGCTGTTAAGATCTTAGTATTACTTAGGCATGTTATAGTTCATCTTTTTTTTCGCCCAAAGTTGCTTCAAAAAGTCGGAAAAAACAAAGATGACAAAGGCGCTGTTCGGATGAATTTTTCTGGCACAGTAACCGACTATTCTTTCAATAACTAGAATGACTACCATTCCAAACATAACGAAGCACAACGCCACAGTTTTGCTGTACTTCTCAACCACTGGAATGGATTTCGACTCCAGGTCAAGTCCATTTTCGTCTTCTGCTCCAAAAGTTTTCTCGCTTCTCTCCCCAATTGTTGAACTGATGTCATCATTAGACTCAATTGCACTGTATCTGTGGGGAGAATCACCCAAAGTATCTCCGAGGATTTTGGTATCTTCATCCGAGGTCATAGTGGCCTCGTGTTTGGGAAAGTAAATCTCCAGCAATCAAGGCTGGCTGAAAATTATAGCTTACGCGGAGCTATTAAAAACAAACCAGCTGTTCCAAAATTTTGAGGTTAATTAATTACTCAATTTGAATAAATAAGGCAAATGATTTCTAAAAGGAGGTTCAGGGCATTGTATATGATCAAACAATGTTCATGTTTGTAATAATTAAAAATTGGGGGTCCTTGGAACTATTTTTAGTAAGTAAACTATATTAACGAAATCATTGAAAGTACAAATTACATTCAATACAATTATTTTCACTGTTGTTTGTACCATTTTATTTACAAGTTTTGACACACTAATAAAAATCCGATAACAATATCAATTTTCACACAACATGGAAAACCATTAAATAGGGATTTTGATGCAATATTAAATAAGGAAATACTTTTCGATAAGATTTTTTATTCAATATAAAACAAAAAAAACATGCCACAAAGATACATATAGTGTACCATATGTTGATCACAAATATACGCCAGCATAGATCGGCAGTTTCAACTTTAGATACAGTAACAATTGGACCGTGAAAACAAATCCTTTTTAAAGCCAAAACAAATATCCAACTATCCGAGCATAAAACTGCATCGATCCTTATGCGGCAGACGGAAATTCGGGAACAGAAGTTGAATAATGCGGTCCCTAACAAATCAATGAAATTGGTTTCTAATTATAGTTACGTCAAAGTCTTTCAAAAAACACTGTCCATTTTACCACCTATAATTTTAATGGCAAACTATCAAAGCCGCCTCTCTAACGCCTGATGAAAAGTCTGTTTTATGTTGGTGGCTTGCGAGCATAAGCCTTGAACAGCTGATCGTCGGAGTCTGTGATTAATGAAGTGAAATTTTAAATCAAATGTTTTATAACTAATTTTTCTGGACTTATTTGTTGCTTCAGAATATTAGTTCGAGGCAATTGTTCATTAAAATAGTTTATAAATTCCTTTTCATTTCATAGGTTGATAATATTTGATAAACTGCATCTTATTGAATTTCCCAGCATTTGGTGAAAAATAAGGATACTGATTATCCCATTATTCCAGAGACCAATTTGTAACAATTCAATTTAACTTTCGTCATTTGTATGATTCAATTTGACAAAATTAATTAAGTTGAAAGCTATAACAAAAATTCCAAGTCATGTTTGAATTGCTTTTATTTTTTTTGATTTTAAAAAATGATATCATGAGTGCACGATTCTGCGCTATTTGAAAAGCAACTGAATAATCTTGTTCCGACCACTGCACAAAGTGAAAAAAATCTATGGCCAGAGTGTTTTATTTGTCAATTTTGGGTATCTAAGGAAAAACGATGAAAAAATTTGGACAGGAAGTCTGCTCCTCTTTTATGCAATTATTTAATTGGAAAATAAGTAATGAAAAAAATCAGAAGTCAAAAAAAGTTCTGAAAAATTATATTGGAAAAAAATTACTTGACAAAAGTTGAAAAACTACAGCTACTAAATCTTGATATTTGTATCAGATGAAGTGCACAAACAGCCCTTTAAAATGGGAATCATTTACCCAGCGGCATCAAATGCGACAAACTTTGGGTCGAAACCTATTGAGCCGAAAACAAAACTTTTGTCATAAAAAACTACAGTAACAATGAAAAAACTTGTTTTCAGGGCCCATCCAAACAGAAACACAATCCCAAACGGATATATTTCGCCCTCGAAATTACGAAAAACAATGACAAAGTCGACATAACAAAAACTGAAACTTTGAAAAGAAAAATAGAAAAAAATGTAAAAACTCACAATCAGACATGGTAAATTTACAAATTTATGAAGTTTCAGTTATAGTGAAAACTGTTCAAATTGAAAAAAAACCATGCTTTAAGAAGCAAACCAATAGAAACCCTACCAGATAGAAAAAAAAGGCATTTCAAAAAACGGCAAATGAACCGACAGAAACCATGACGAAAACCACAAACCCGAAAAAAATTGCGTTATGAACTTTTTTGAAAAGATTATTACAACCTGAAATGGGTTTGAACTAAAACTACTTGAGTAACGACTTAGTGCTTTTGTTTGAAATATGTGAACTTTTTTGAAAAGATTATTACAACCTGAAATGGGTTTGAACTAAAACTACTTGAGTAACGACTTAGTACTTTTGTTTGAAATATATGAACTTTTTTGAAAAGATTATTACAACCTGAAATGGGTTTGAACTAAAACTACTTGAGTAACGACTTAGTATTTTTGTTTGAAATATATGAACTTTTTTGAAAAGGTTTTTACAACCTGAAATGGGTTTGAATTAAAACTACTTGAGTAACGACTTCGTACTTTTGTTTGAAATTTCAATAAACTGAGATGTCAGAACCCGGTTGTGCAATTTTTGCTGTTGCAGTTGGAAAGAAAAAACAAGCAAGAAAGAATACCAAAACACACCAGCGGATTTAGGGTGGGAGGGGGTCGGACAGCCTCTCCTCAGGAATTTGTCCCCCTGTCGACCCAAATGGTACTTTTGAGATATAAATTTTTGTTGACGGACACTAAATTTTTCTTAAAGGCGCCTTGGGCGCGAACATATACTAATTTTGACGGGGGCTGATAACCAATTGCCTAAAAACGTCTTTTTTGGACTGTTTTTTCAAAATTTTGCCTGCGGCGCACAAAATTTGGTCAAAATGGGGCCTTTAGAGTAATTTAGGAGAGCTCAGAAAATCAATTGGTCGACCTAAAAAAAAAGGTCGACTTCTGACTCGTTTCACCAACTACTTCGCTTTTTAAAAAATTAGCTTACAGACAATTGGAAATTACAATGAACGCAAGCAAACAGAAACTAAAAAGCCGACTTGTTCAATAAAAATTCATAATTGACTTTTCTTTGATGAAATTAACTCAATTTGAGAACACTGGATGAATAGGTAAAATTTGTATTCCGCTGAGAAATCTCAAAATTAAACTCTCGAAATTAGAAAATTCGGTCAGTTTTGTGACCTTTACACTTTCGCTGTTTGTAGTTTGCTTCCTTTTAACAAAGGAAATGAACTGAATTTAAAGAGAAATCAAAACATCACGACCTGATTGTTCATTATGTTCATTGACTTTAATCATATAAGAACTGAAGCAATTTTGTAACTTGTCGATTAGCAGCTAATTTTCAGTTCTTATGGATAAATAAGATCTTCTTATTAAGTAACTCATCGGACATACTGCCTCATCATCTCAATTCATTTAAGAATGATATTCAGCGCTGATTAGTATCCTGCTTGCAAATAATGTAAGTCCGAACAAAAATTGAACTAAGCGCAAGCAAACGAGTCCAATCTCGATCCTGGAGGTTACTCCATAACACAGGTGATTTCATTTTCATTATCTCAGGCAGCTGCCTTTACCAATGGGGTAAAAAACAGCTCACTATTTTTAAAACATTTTTTGTCGTCATGCCTCACGTTTTCGGATCCAAAACACAATTCTGCAACAAGAGACGTAGACTTTAGATGAAACTAACCAGATCGCAATCTGCTTTGAATTACAAGGATTTAAATGATGGATGTTCAAGCTTGCCGTTATTGACACTAGTCAAAACAACTGAGATTATGACTTGATAAATCTATCTGGAAGGTTGAGCCAGTTTTTGTTTCTCACTTCTGCACAGATCTGTTGTTTTCTAGATAAGCTATAAAAATCTACAGCCAAAGCGATCCTTGCCAAAGGCATGCCAACCCCGTACTCTTGTACATATTTTTTGCTGGTGTCACTATTGTTATTCAATAATAATAGTTGAGGTTTCTACAAGTCGCAGAGTATCTTTGGAAGTCTATCCGACTATTATTTCCCACAATCCAGACAGAATTACTTTGCTGATCTCTTTGCTGCACTTTTTTGCGATGCGAGGCCGTTTTTTGCGTCTAGCACTTCCACATGGTACAATTATAGCACCCAAAATCGTTCAGTTTGTGGTAGACCTGAGGCTAGAGGTCAAGTGGAAGCTCATTCTCACACACTCATTGCCATAGCGAATGATCGAATAACTGATCTGACTATCTCAAAGTAGACGACTCGCCGCTATGCTAAGTACCTATTAATTGTAATTTTATTTTCTAATCAAACAACGAAGACGCTTTTTACAGCCTTCGAATTTGTGATCTGTCTGGTTATTCTGTGAGTGAACAACTGTTCATTAATTAAATTAAATTATTTGGATCACTGTACGCCATTTACTGTTATTACCATGTTTATACATTTAAATAACACAATTACTTCATGAAACGTAAAATCAAGATTCAAGTTGTTGCGAATAGTTTCATCAATCCCTTCGCAAATTGAATAATTTCACCAGCGCCTAATTTGGATTCTCCGTACACTCGGTCAACAAACGCAATGGGAACTTCGTCTATGGTGTAACCCGAGCTCCTAGCGAGACACATCATTTCCATTTGAAACACGTAGCCTTTTGAGGTACATCGCGATATGAGGTCAACAAGCACTTCCTTTCTGTACAATCTGCAAAACATCGCGTATAATTTACTGCTTTTAAACTAATCAATATGCAAACAAAAATCAAACCAACCTAAAACTGCCAGTTAAGTCGGAAACTCCAGGATTGAGCAGTGTCTGAGTCACATAATTGGCCGTCACACTAAAACAAATGACACAAGAATATTTCAAGCCATTAAATTTTAAAAACCATCAACCAACGTTCTGGGACAAAATAACCAATTAAAAATTTGATTTTGATTTAAGATAATAATAATTGTTTTTTGATAGATGAGCTTTGAAACATAGTATTACCTTAAAATTTGGGTAAACATTTTTTGATCTGAAACAGTTTATCTGCTAGAACAACCAACGGTTAATTGTGAACTAAAAGTGTTAGCAAGTAAAAAAGAATACCAAATACAATTAAGCAACGCTTTGCAGATAACAAACAAATTAACCGCCTGCAGCTTTCGAGTTCAAACCAAAATCACTATCAAATTCGCACCTGATGAATTTCCGTTTCAAGTCCCAGCCTGCCACTCCTCCATTGCCTCTGTATCTCGTACCCGTCACTACGTCACAACTACTCTCCCTCTGCTTTCTGTAGCGAAAAAAATACAACTTATCTTATTCGGTGTTGACTCAATTCGGTGCCATTAATGTTCAAACTGAGAGAGAACTATGCCATGGAATGGATTTCGACCAACTCTAAGGGTCACTAAAAACTAGTATAGCACCGAAAGTGGGATTAAACTCAAGCGCACCGGTGACCATTCGATCGTTCCTAAAACAAGTTTGCATTTCAACTTTTCTTGCATAAAAAAAAACTGACATGCATTTTTAAATCTCTGAGTTTCTAGAACAAGTTATTATTGGCGCTTTTTGATAACATTAACCCAAATTTATACACAGAGGCGAAGTTGCACTTCGCATACACAAGCAAAAATATGACCGATAACGCTACTGGAAAAAACTGATGAGTAAAACTTTCAGTCTACAAAACTTCTTTAGTGACGCACGCCAATTATGACGCATTAGCAGTACCAGTCAATTTGATAACAAAAACAAATTTACCAACTAACATGCCTCAATTTATAAAGCAGTCTATGGAGCACAAATAAATGAAAAAATAAATACTCATCAGTTTTATTCATCAGTTTTTTTAAAAAATAAATGTAATAAAAACAAGACTGCTTGTATCAGAGCGAAGCCCTGAATGTTCCGACTGCCGTTTAAGGTTTATGGAGAAGCAGTCATAACATAAAAAAATTAAATGAAATAAAATAGAATGAAAATGTTTTTTTTTCTAAAATTTTCTAAAATTTTTTATGAAAATCATCCCCCCACACGCCATATAAAGTACAAAAAGAGATATTTCGTTCCTTGTAACAAATCAATTATGGCAAACAAGCTTCGTTCAACCAATTTGAAATGATTTATAACACGGATTAAATCTCCGCTTACGCGTTAATAGCGCGAATTATATCGCGCGTTAATTGTCCCAAATTGGTCAAAATGGCAATCTTTAAACCCTCATAACTTTATGAAAAATGATCACAGGTGAAATATCTTTTCAAATTTAAGCTCAAGACAACAATACCTTTTGAATGATATAAAAAAACTCCGTCAAAAATGGCTAGTTAAAAAGTCGAAATTTGTCTGAAGAAAAAAAAACCCACCCGAGCACAAATATTCCGTTACTTTCGTATCGAAAGTCGGAACAATAAAATGATTTTTTTTTAAATTTGAGATGTTTTGTGAAAATCATCCCCTCACACGCCATAAGTATAAAGCGATAAATTTTGCTCTCAGTAACAAATGAAATATGGCAATTAAACTTGCTTCAACCAATTTGGAACGATTTCTATGACGGATTAAATCTCCGCTTACGCGTTAATAGCGCGAAACATATCTCGCGTTAGTTGTCGCAAATTGGCCGAAATGGCAATTTTTGATCCACCATAACTTTACAAAAAATGATCACAGATGAAACATCTTTCCAAATTTAAGCTCAGGACAACAATACTTTTTGAATGGTATTTTAAAATTCCGTCAAAAACGGCTAGCTAAAAGTCTGAAAATTTGTCAGAAAAAAAAACACCCCGAGCACAAATACTCCGCTTTTTTCGTTACGAAAGTCGGAACAATAATAGTATCCTTAGCATTGGCTGTACTTAATAGCTGGTTATTGAACAATATTAACGACTTAGATTGGAAAAAAACATAGTTCATACTATAACACATGCATTGCTTGTTTAAAAACTGGAACAACAAGTAAAATTTTTATTTCAATAAGAAATCTGATAATTGAATTCCATTTTCAAGTAGAAGTCGATAACCATTTTTTGAGACTTTTTCACTTTCGCTGGTCGACAGTGAAGTTTGCCTTCCTTTTAACAAAGGAAATGAGCTGAAATTAAAAAGAAATGAAAAATCAAACCGCGATAAGTAAATTGGAGCCTGACTAAATTTTAAGACTTTCCTGAAAAAGTCTTCGACTCTTAAAAACTCTACAAAGAAAAAATTCTTACATTACTTATAAACTAGATTTTTAAAGACATTTAATTTTTAATGCCGAGAAAAGGCTCATTGCAAAAGCAAAAATCGAAACCAGTTTTTCTAATGTCGTACCTGATTGAAACCAGTTTTTCTGATGTCGTACCTGTGTGGTAAAACAAAAATTAATTTAAAAACAATACCCCAAAACAAAGTTCCTCCCCACTTTCAGAAGTTGGGAAAATAACTCGCTGCACGAAAACGTATAAGGCTAAGAAATGACATATAACCGAAAATGCAAAACTGAACACGAGGAGACCAATGACAATCTATCCATGACATTCAGAATAGTTTCACAAAAACTCACTTGATGAACTGAGGAATGTGTCTAGGCTAAAACAGAAAAAAGTTAGCTCATGGTTATTTAAATAAGAACAATCACATAAATACTCACATGATGTGATAAATCAGCATCCATTATGATGATAAAGTTTCCCGTTGCAAATTGAATTCCATGGATATATGCGCTGCCTAAAACATAGACTCGCAATAAGTTTTGGCTGAACAATTTCTGATTTCTGAGATCAATTAATTGAGCACTGTTATTACAGCCACTGAATAATCAATTGAGCAACCCCCATAATGACGATTGAGCTCTCTCTTCCCTCAAGCAGATAGTTGATGTGAATATAACACGCTATCAATCGACCGATCGAAGTTTATGTTATGTGAAAGTCGAAAAGATTTTTTCAAGAAACTTTTTTGTTTTTTTTTTGTTTGTTTGGACGTTCATTGTTTTGAAAACAAGTTATAGTAGTAGTAGTAGTAGTAGTAGTAGTAGTAGTAGTAGGTCAGTCTTTAGAGCTCTTGGCTCAAGGGTTTGCACCCCACAGTTTTGGTCACTTAAATTTTCTGCATCGGATTGCAATCGCCCCAATTGCAGATGATTCTCCATGTGATGAGATTATTTCACTAAATTGTTCAAAAAATTTCCAGTCGATTTTTGTTAAAACCGGCTTCGTCAGCTCGCTAATCTCGTAGTTTGTTTTCTTTGTAATGATGTTTAACAGTCTGCTAGATCTCTTCCAGAAGTTTTCATCTGCTTTTTTTGTTCTTGTTTTTTCAATATTTATTTCATTACCACTGGTTTGTCTTGTATTGATGTCATTTCCAGGGTTGTTCTTTATTGATACGGGTTTTCTGATGTTATTATTTCCTAGCATGATGGATAGTAAGAGTCGGGCATCGTGTAGTTCAAATTACATAGATAGAGGCAAGAGTTCTAGCTGTTTTAATCTACTGTTGTAATTTTGCTATATGACAAGTATCCAGGTGGCCCGTTTTTGGATTTTTTCGATATCCCTCATTTCACCTATGTTTGCTGACCATGCCTGAGATGCGTATGCTATTACACGGACTACATACCCTTTGTATGCGTTCAGTTTCATATATTTGTTTGCTAGTTTCGAGACGTTGCGTTTTAGAAAATAGAAAGCTCTCCAGGCTTAGGAACATCTTTTATCACAATTTGTTTTCCAATTTAAGTTCGTCGCCATTATAATATCTAAATCTTTTCGTTCTTTTTTACAACTTAGGCCATTGGTATGTAGCGTCATATTATCAATTTCGCATTTCGTTTTGATTGGTAGTTTATAGCATTTATCACTATTGAGTTTCATTTCGTTGTCTGAGCACCATTTTTCTATTCTATTTATGTCATCTTGTAGAGTACAGGTGTCAGTATTTACAAGTTTGAAATCATCTGCATACCCAAGAGATTCGCTATTTTTAATTATAGTTGGTAAATCATTTACAAATGGGGTAAATAAAAAGGGTCCAATGATTGACCCTTGTGACACACCACTAGTTACTGATGCTGTTGGGGAGCGCTTATCATTTATTTTTACACATTGTCCCCTGTTTGTTAAGTAACTTGCAATGAGTTTCACGAAATTTCCGCCATTTCCAAATTGTTGTATTTTATCAATTAATTTTTGGTGAGGAACGCTGTCAAATGCTTCAAGAAAACCTAGGTAGAGAACATAAAGTTCTGTTTCAGTTGAAATGTCATATTTTTGGTACAGATGGTCATGAAATTGTGGAGTTGAGTTATCATCGATCGCATTTTACAGAAACCGTGTCGGGCTTCATGCAAGTGTTTGTTGGTTAGATTATAAAGTTCATCAAAGATAAGTTTCTTTAGTATTTTTGATACATTGCAAAGAAGACTTATTGGCCCGTAATTCTCTATTTGTGATTTGTTCGCGTCCTTGAAAAGTGGGACTACTTCACTGATTTTCCAATAAGTGGGGAAAAATCCTTTTGCTATTACAGCTTTGAAAACAAGATAGAGTGATTTTGACAGAGATGGCAAATTTTTTAGGATAAGATTTCCGATGTTGTCAGGCCCACAGGCTTTACTGGTATCAAGGTTCGACAGAATTTGGACAATTTGTTTTTCTGTTATAACTAATTTATTATGGACATTGTTTTCGTAATTTTGATTTGCATTTAGTTGATAATCTCTGGCAAAGACACTGCAGAAGAATTCATTGAAAAGCTTACTTTTTTCCTTATCATTGTAAGCTTGATTGTTTCCGAAAGACATAAGGTCAGGAAAACGACTGCCTTTGTGGATTGATTGAAGATATTTTTGCAGTTTAGAAAACTTTTTTCCTTTGAAAAGCTTTTCTTCATAGTCTGCTTGATCTTGTGTTAAGCTTTTGCATAGCAGAGCTTCTTTCTTTTTTAGTTTTATGAGGCCGCTTAGACTGTTTCTGTTTTTCAGTTCGGTTTTACGTTTTAATGTGGAAATAACTTTTGTTTGTTGTGATGTACTACTAGACACCCAAGGGGGGAGGTTCTTTCTGTGGCTTGTTACTCTGGGGACACTTTCTTCAATGATCTTGCAAAGCCATTTATACCATTGTTTTAAACGTTCGTCGACATTACTATAACAGTACGGAAGAAATTGTTTATACTTATATTTATTGCATTCCAATCGGCTTTATGAAACGCAAACCGTTCATTTTGTATTGTATTGGTTACTTCCGTTTCAGTGTGAATCGTTATAGTGTATGCTAAGTGATCAGTTCGTATGACTTGTTGAAATCGTTTCGTGTAGTTCAGTAAGACATTTGGATTATTTGTCAAATTGTTTACTGTTTATTATTGTTTTGGGATGAACATTCCTCAAAGTCATTTTCGGAGAGAAGATTAAGGACATTCAGCTCGTAGCTGTCATTCGAGTCCATTGCCTCCCTATTCGCGTGTACGAAGTTTATGTCGCCTGTTATGACTAAATTATTACAATTTTCGTTTTCGCTAATCGCTACAAGTTCATTTATTAGATCGCGGATTCGTTGTTGACAAATTCGATAAGGAATTATTTCAGGAGGGTTGTATAGACAGCATAGAATGATTGATTCCCTTTTGGGGTTTAATTTAACTGCAACACTTTCACATTCTGTTTTTATGCATAGCGGTTTGTTTATGTGGAATATCTCTGACACCAATTAGCACACCACTGTGTTTAGTTCTATGGTCATGTGTTGGTCTGTCGGTTCGATATATGTCGAAATAGGGTAGAAAAAGTGCTTTGTCAGGGATATCACTCGGTAACCACGTCTCAGATAGACATATCACTCGGATTATTACTTTCAATTGTTAAGCAGTTTGCAAAAAGACTTCTACGTTTTAGTTCAAGTAAGCTGTGTATTTTGTAGTTTAGTATGGTCAGAGCTGGGTTTGAAGCTAGTCAATTTTGTTCATTGTTAGTTTGGTCTAGGCTGACCCATTTATTTCATATCATTCAAACTATTTTCAAGTGGTTATAAACATGCCTCAAGCAAGTAGCTATTGAGTTCTCTCCGCCTCGCTTCCTTCCTCCCTCCTCGTCCCACGCGAGAATGGGGAGGGGAGATTGCTCAATTGATCCCACTTGGTTAAAAAACTGAACAGCTATTTCTTTCGGGAAAAAAATCAGAGCACAAACAACGAATAGCACCAAAATACACACATGATTCGAGCTCAGTCTTACGCACTGGCACTGACAATTAAATTTACTATATGCAAGTCTCAAATATTTTCTTTGAACTGAAGTATAACTGCTGCTAAATTCGCTTTGACCGATATTTTTGCCCAGATCAGACGACGCAAACCCCTCTAAGCAGAAAAACATCCCCACTACCTTATCACAACGATGTGCCAAACATTTATTTCGAAGAGCTTCAATAAATTTCGTTTCAAAAAACTATTTACTGATGGCGAAGCACTAAATAATAATTCGGATACACAGCAGGATTTAATATCGGAAAGCCAATTTTAATACACTCACCTAATCCAAGTTTCTTCGCGCGTGGTCGCAGTTGAATTTTGTCTTCTCCGTATATAGCTTGCAATTGTTTGGCTGCATCCTGTGTCCCATCAGGACTCCCATCATCGACTATAATAACTTCAAACTTCTCGTTTCTAAACAATCAATTATAAATTTTTTGATTTTTGAGTTATGATTGAAGTATTGACTTTATCTGAAAAATTTCATCGAACTTATCACTTAATAGAAACCTTTCAGCTCCAGGCCATCAAAACTTTATCTTCAACTGTGAAACTAGGTTTCAGTCTTAAGGTCAAATTTCAATTTTCGTCCATACAAAAAAAAATAGTTCAACTTACAATTTTGTAAAAGCCTCAATGATAAGCCATATAATTAGCGGTAGATTTTCGCGCTCATTGTATGTAGGCAAAATAATGCTGTAAAAGTTATCTGTTGCTCCCATTTTCATTCTATAATACAGGCAAGTTTTATTAAGAAAAATATTTCAACTAAATCTCCGCGCTCAGATATCTATATACCAAAAACCAGTTATTTTCTCTCCTCCAGTCATTTTTGTCAACAGAACTGCGCTTGTCAACAGATTACTAAGGAGCGTTAAATTCACAGACAGTGAAAACTGCGCTTGTCAACAGAATACTAAAAAAATAATAAAAATAATAATTCTGACAGAATACTAAGGAGCGTTAAATTCACAGACAGAATAGGACTGCAAAAAAAAACGAGCTCTTTTCTTTCTATGGAGAACTTTGAAAAGAACTACAACGAACTTATATCTAGTACTTGGAAAATTTGACCAGCAAAACTCATCTTGTTTAAGGGAGTAATCCCAGGCCCACATGGCCGAATCTATAATACATACATACATACACATAGTGTTCGTTCAGGAAGGTTTCTTGATCTTGATCCGAAATCATAGCCTCTTTTAGTTTGGGTCAGGATTACAAAAAAAAACCTAAAATACAAAAGGGGCCCTTCCGTTTAGTTACGGTAAGTGCACAAGCTGGATAGGGCCATACCAGCGATATAAAAATGCATATAAATCAGCAATGAAGTCATAAATCAGCATTAAATGCATCGTCGCAATGTTAATTTATTTTAGCCGTCCTTCCTCTACAATAGCGCTTATGGAGTTGTCGATAAATTGAACTTTGCGTAGCGATCTGCACCCCCTTATACAAAGTATAGAGCTCCTCAGGAGCGCGAAGCTTATTTTAGTTCTTATGTAGTTTATAGATTCTGGATAGCTTTATTGTCTTTTTTCACTTAGTTTTTCGGCCAATCGCTGCATCGTCCGCGTGGCTGTTGGAGCAGCGCCACCGGTGCATCCAAAAATTATCGGGCAGAAGCTACTCTGCTGCTCTACGTTTAAAATTCTTTGCTGATATTTGGAGTTCTTCAGCGTTTCGTGGTATTTGTATGCATCCTTATGCAGTTTTCGCGATGTTTTGGCATGGGGTTTGGAAATTTTCACATCAAAGAAAGCGCGGCTGAATCGTGAACCCCAGAGTCCGTTTGCCTTAATATCAAGTCGTGACTCATCTTCAGTTGTAGTTGAATTGTTGACAAAGCTTTCGCCTTGCAACGGCTGAAGTTTCGGCTCAATCTCGACGTCATGGTCAACCTCGTTCATGAGGTTGGCGAATGTGTCTCTAATTTCATTGTGTTTTATGTGTGTAACCACCCTTTGCACAGTGAAGCGCATGTGTCAAGTTAAAATCAGCACCACATGCACATGTGAGTGGGGTTTTGGTTTGTTCCCATCCGTATCTTAAGTAAATACCATCTCTGAACTCTGATTTATTCAGGTTGAAGTTGTATCTGCTCAGTGGTAAAGCATTGGGCCAGTTAGAGGCTCTCTTTTCAGAGGCCAGGTCGATTGCGTATTTATCTGTTTCATTTAAGGAGTTAATGAGGTTTGTTTTTTTTCGATTCGTTCTATCAGTTTTCAATCTTTTGATTTTCGTACATATTTTTTCTTGCTGTGTTACTGCTGTAATAGGATCTTGAGATTCCAGTACTAGTGATGTTTCCTTGGACCATTCTAGGTAGCTTTCATGATCGGATGGCAGCTTGATGTTAAGTCCGCCCATTTTAAGGGGTAAGGAAGATATCTCACGGAACTGGGGGTTTAAAGTGTCTTTACCGACTAGGTTAGGTAATAATTGTTCTTTGATAATATTTTCAAATATTTCTAAGTTTTCCATAGTGTTAGGCGTTGTCCTGGCAAGGAATGAAAGCTTTTCTTGAACTCCTTTAGTATAGCAGGCATAAACGTTTTGAGGGGAGGTTTTAGCAATTTTCGTTAGTTTTTTCAAAATTTTGATTTGCTCATTCTGTTGATATTCGAGGAGTTTTTTTACATTCAGATTCTGTTCCTATAACTGAACCAAGCACTCGGGCTCCTGCCTTTATAGTGATTCCTGTGTTTGCGAAGATTTTCTGAGCTTCACCGAGTTTTTTATCCGTGACCATGAGTTGGCATTTGGATGCTTTCACGTGGTAGCCGAAAAATTTACCCAGTGATACAATTTTATCGAGGACGGTTCGTAGATTGCTTAATTTACCGACTGCGTTTCCATCGTCTGCGTACCATTTCTGGGTTACATCTTCCACTGATAAAAATTTTATGAGGGTATTATGGCTAGACCGTACATGGCCATTGCTAGTGGATCCCCCTGGGTTGTCCCTTCTTGAGAGTAGATTGTTTTTTTTTGTTAACGAATAGTTAAGATGGATTGGAGTAGGAGTTCCTAATCGCTGTTAAAAGGGAAGGGCAGGTATTTTCGATGTTTTTTATTGCCAGCTTTCGGTTCAGCGAGTTGAAAGCGTTTTCGGCATCTATCAGTAAAACAGCATCGGCGGAAGTTTTGCTGTATTGATCTCTTAGCGTGTGTATCGCATATTCAATGCCACATTTTTGTCATAGGCAGAGTTGGTAGTTTGAACCGAGCGACATGAGTTCGTTTTTTAGGCATTTAGTTATTGTTCGCCTTATTATTCTACGCATAACTTCTCCTATGCCTATGGTTCTTACCCCTGAATTCTTATCTAAGGATATTAATCTGCATGCGTTATATGGTTCCATTAATTCTGGATTTAGTCTTCTGTTGCCAATTTTTAGGCAATTTTAGCAATTTTTTTTGAAATTTCAACTGATTGCTGCCCGAAGTGTGTTAAAATACGTCTCCATTCTTTTGCATCGAGGCCAGATGGTCCATGCGATCCGTGCGTTCTCATGGCTGCCTTCTTGATATGTTGACCGTTTATCTGATCAAATATCGATGGATGGAAAGGAATTGTTTCGTTTGAGACTGGTGTAATATAGTTCACATCAATTGGTTTAGATGGTGGGTGTTTCTCTATGAGAGTCTATTCTACTGTCTTACCTTTGACAATCTCGTCGAGCGAAAGAACGCCTTTAGATGTGTCTGTTAGTTTTGCAATTGCGCTTGATATTTTTCCAGTATTCATTAGTTTGTTGAACTGTTGTGCTTCAGTTTCAGTTTTTCTTCTACTTCCTTTCAACAAGCGCATTTGCAGCGCCTTTCCTTCGTTATATAGTCCATCCAGGTCTCCGTCTTGCCATTGCTTAAGTCGCCTTGCTATTGTTTTGGATAAAGATCCATCAATTTCGGACTTTGTTTTGCACAGTAATAATGTGACATTCGACCAGAATGGACAAAATGCAATCTCTGCAGACTTCGAAATTTTAGCAGTAAACCTTCCGAGTTAATGATTTTGAAGGATTAACGACGTTATTCGGATGATTAGCAGAACGGTGAAGGTCAGGATATTCCCGTATTTTAAAATTTTAAAATTTCGAAGTGATGACGTAACATTTCTGAGAAACGTCAGAAACGGCCATTTTAGCAAAAAGAACTAAGAAAAACAGAACAACTTTATCTGTGATTGCGAACAGAACGAAAATCGAAATAAAAGAGAACGACAACGAATTACAGAGAATGTTCCGAGTCGCAACTATTGTGCTGCTACAATAGTTGCAAGGCCGTTGCGAACAACGGTGAAGGGTGAAAACCAGCCTTCCGTGTTATTGTGAAATCGAACTTAAGGAGCTTGATTCGGTGGATTCACAAATCCGGAAGGGTTTCGGGACTGAAATTTTTAGCCTGTTATATGAACTTTTAGCATCCTGTCATGTCCTGACTTGAATTTAACTGATATTTGGATTAGTTTTGACAAGGATGAGGTGCTAGGAGTTGGGGGAAAGGGTTGATCCATCTTCGATGGAGATGATGATTTTTATCTACTGAGCAAAAACAATAGTAATATAATAAGTAGTAAGTAATGTTTTTAGGAGTGACCTCGTGGTCTGGGGATACTGAGACCCAGCCATGAGCTCACTATTTGCATGTAATTAAGTTAATTTGAGCGTTCTGGTCGAAGCCGGAGAACAGTAACGTTTTTGTCGACCCGATATTGGAAAGACCACCGAAAAGTACTGGCTTGGTAGAGACGGTGAAAAGCATGCAAAGCTCTGTTTAGACGCTAGCCAGTCGTCTTAGGACTTAGTTTTGTTCTCCGTCGATATGTATCTTCCGGGCGAATGTTACATACATGTTTTTATGGCGCTCCTGGGTGTTATTCTTTTTAACATCATGACCGGCAGAACCGTTAACGAGCATTCCGCGCCGAGCGCATGCTCACATTAACGCCCTTATTAGGCCTAAACCGCTGGGGCGGAAGGGTGGTTCGGAGCGCGGAAGCCCTCCGGATTACCGAGAATAGCTTTTTAACTTAGTTAAGACCGAAAATTCACGAACCAGGAAGGGTGGGGGGATCGGCCATTCCCTCATCCCCTGAGTCGTTTGTGACCAAAAACACTTAAAGATATAAGTAAAACCAAACAAAAAGTAGTAGAGTACCCAAGAAAAACAAAAAACATAAAAAATTGCCGAAAAAACCAAAAACAGTAAAAAAAGTAAAAAAAATCAGTAGAAATCATCCCCCAGACAAGATGTGATCCGACCCCCCCGTTTGTTGTTGATAGATATATTGTTGTTACAGGCATTTATATCAGTCAGGATCGTTACGATCAGTTTTGTAGCCCGTTTGTGAGGCTTGTACTTTAGGGTTATTTGAGCATTTAAGCACGTTAATGATAAATTGCGCTCAATCCGGAAGGGTCAGCTGATTTGCGCTCAATTCGGAAGGGTCTTGGGTGAAGACCGATCCGGCAAGCAGTACAAGGAGCAACAAGAAGGGGCTCAACGACAACAACAATCGACTGTTGGGTATCGTTAACAAGTTTTGTATCCCTTTTGGTACAAAAAGTAAGATAGTAATCTGTGGGGGGCTCGACAGTGCTGCACTGTAGTGACCCTTCACCGAACTGCGAATATCCGAGTTAAGCACCTTAATTCGGATATTAAACAAACCCGGAGGGGTATAGTATTACTATTATTATTACTTCTAGAGCCTATATTAATAGTCTTATATCGTTTTTCAGTGAAAAACAACGAAAACAGACCGGTTTTTAGGGTCAA